TTAGGTAACTAACTGCCAATTTGTACTTTTTTTTTTAATTGAGGAATTGGGGAAGGGGAACAGCCAAGTTGTTGTCCTTCAGTCTTAGTTGTGGAGGCGCAGCTAGCTCAGCTCCAAGTCCAGTCGCCATCCGGCCGCCACCCCCATCGGCAGCTCAGCTCAAGGTGCCGTGTTCAATCTTAGTTGTAAGTGAGCATAGCCCACCATCCCATGCGGGAGTCGAACCAGTAACCTTGTTGTTAGGAGCCCATGTTCTCACCAGCTGAGCCATCCTGCCACCTGTTGGCAGCTCAGCTCAGGCACAGCTCACTGACCCATGTGGGAATCGAACCGGCGGCCCTGTTGCTCAGAGCTCGCACTCTTAACCAACTGAGCCACCCTGCTGGCCCCAATTTGTACTTCTTAATCCCTTCCCATTTTCCACCCATTTCCCCAAACCCCTCCCATCTATTACCCCAATAGATCTAGTGCCCACCTGACACCATGGGTTGTAGGGTGCAGCATAAGGAACACAGTAATATTGTAATATTGTAAAATAATATTGTAATAATTAGATAAATAGCTTATATAGCCCCTCAAACTGGAAATTTCCTTATAGGGTCCTTTTAGACTTGAGTCCATTTTAGGAAGAAACCCTGTTGAGTCACTGTCATAATAAATTTAGCTCCAAATATGTTTGTCGTGATAGGCATGCATTTGCAAAGGTTTTATGAAAGGAAGAAAAAATGCTCCTTTATTGTGGATTCTGTTATGCACATGAAGAAATGTTCATCGCGGTGAAAAGTGTTTCTCATGGCTCCAGCGTGGGGCCACGTCCGGCTTCCCCAGGACCCGGCTGCCTGGCCCCGGAGCGTGAGTGTCCGACCAAACAGCCACGCTGCCTGCCGCTCACGCCAAGGAGGATAATTAACGGCCGGTCTTCTCCGCTCTGCCTCGCTTTCCCTTGGAGATTTTCTAACTGATAAATCACTCAGCTAACACTGTGGAATTTAGAAGCTGGAAGCCCACAGAGGAGTAGCTAAAGGAGTGAAATGCCAGCATTATATCCCGAGGCACTGTCGGTGTCACCAACGTCTGGGGCGAGAGGTGCGTGGACCAGGATGTGCACTAGAGGCTCTCTGAAGCATCCTTTCTGATGTTTTCCTGTCGCTGTACATGTGCTCTCCTGACTGACTTATTGACCCTGCAACGTCTGCACTGTGCGTCTTGCAGCGAATTGTAAGATCCGCCTCTTAGAGCGTGTTCTCAGGAAGGGGACCCCAGGTCGCCTGTTGCCCCCTGTACTGCAGTTTAGTCACCGGGGTCTCACGGGAGCCCGTCCACGAGGCTGCTGCCCGAGCAGGTGGGCACTGGCAGCGCGTCTGTTACACTCACGTGGAATAAATGACCGTAATTTTCAGAACACAGGCAGGGAAAAGCAGCATTTTCAAAAATGCCGCCTTACGTGCATCATACCGCACACTTTTCCCATCTTAGAACACACTGCGTTATCTGGGTGCTCGAACGGCATCATAAAGTTCAGGTCCGTGTTACTAAGACGGCCGTCTGCTTTCTGAGCTGCCCGTTTCCTCACAGCCGTGAATGCAGACCCATCACTGAATTACAGCCTGGCCCATTAGGGCGGCACTTACCCAGACTCACCGCAGACTGCTCCAAGCTCAGCGAACTAATTAACCTCTTTTACTGCAAAAGGAAAGGCCAATAAAAGGGTCCGTATGAAGGTGTATCTAAAACCAATCAGGGAGTTAATGGGCCACCGCGATATAAACTGCGCGTTCCTCAGAGCTCACCGGAGCGCCGCGTTTCTGAACGGTGGTCAGTAAATCTCCATGTAACCCTTTGTGCCAGGCTACCCACATTGTCAGCGCCGCCCGTTGGCAGAAAACGTGTCCCCAGAAGGATTAGCGAGCAATGTCGTGTGTAGTGAGTGGGACGAAGTGCTCCCTCGGATCTCTGCAGGGAGGCAGCGTTAGTGAAGCTTTCTGTTGAGAAATAGTTATTCCACCCACTTCCTGACGAGTGTGTACAGCCTGGGGGCTGCCCGGGGGCCTCTGGGAACTTGCTGGGAGCGCCTGTTTGGGAAGAAAACACCCAGGCAGCTCCGTGTTCTCAGCGACAGACCTGGCGTTCTCTGGGAGCCGATGCGTTCGTTTTGGCGTCTTCCCTCTTTCTTTCTTTATGTATGAAACTCTCCAGCCAATCTGCGCTTTCCTTTTCATCGTAATGGTTGAATGTGGTGACCAGCACTGGTCCCTGGGGCATGCGGCTAAAACTGTGCAGCCAGGCTGCCTGCGGCCTGGGTCAGCGGCACCGCCGGTGGCCACGCTCACCCCCTCCTCTGAGACGTCTCTGCCGCTTCCTCTCCCACCTTCCTCCTCAGTCCCTCCCGCTCCGCTGACTTCTTCCCTGATGGTGCATTTTCAGTCCTCTCATCCAGGAAGGTAATTTCTGAACCTCTTCATCCAGGCGCCTCCTGCCTCAACTTCTCTGTTCCGTGTATATTTATATGCACATGCAGATGAATACATGCAAATGCATATTTCACGTATGGAACATGCACACATGTGTGTGCACATGTGCATGAATATATGTATGGGCATGTGTGTAATCGTCCGTACTCTCCCTGCATTCATTCCCTATAAGTCTCTAAGTCCTCAGTGCCTGGCAGCCCTGTGTCCCCAGCTCTCCTGAGCTTGTGCCTGAAGCCGTAGCATCACGGATTCTTCGCCAAGTCCATCCTGGGTGTCTGCTCTGTGCCGGGAGCTGGTCAAGGCTCCAGGAATCGTGTGACCGACCCAGACACGCCACCAGCTTCCAGGGGCCCCTGGAGGAGAGAACCACTGGTCCGACCACACACATGCAGCTGGCCAGTCGCAGTCGCTGTGAAGAAAGCACAGAAGACATAGGCTCCGTTGTGGGAAAACCCTCATCCAACCCGCAGGCTCAGGGAAGTGACGCGAGTCTGAAGGCTGAGGACACATTAACCAGTCCCAGGGAACAGCTTCTGTAAAGGCCCCAGACGGGAAGCGGCTTGAAAGCGATGGCGGGGAGGCGTGTGACTGGAGGCCTGCGAACAAGGAGAGGAATTCGGAGGGGACACGACGTCGCGGGGAGGTGGGGCCTGTCGTGAGTGTGGCTCCGGCTTAGGGGACGGTCTTTCTGCTCAGGCAGCGTGATGCACAAGGTGGATCTCGGCGAGGCTTGGGCACGCGGGGGTGGCGGCTGGTGGCTCGTTACCTCCTGTGACACTTGCTCCCGTGTTCCTCCAAACAGCCCCCTCCCTGGGCCCCCTTCATTGTCACCTCCCGTGGGGTTCCCATCAGGGGCTAGTGCCCGCTTTACAAAAGGGTTTGTCCTCCCAGGAGCTAAGGTGCGGGGTTTCCGGGGAGCACGAGCCGCCCTGTCCGCCCCCCGAGGGGTCTGGCTTCTGTGGGAGTCCCACGCCGAGCCTTCCCACAGGCCGGGGAGGCGCCAGGCGCTTCCTCCCTTTGCTTAGCAACTCACGTTCAAACCAGTGCTCTGTGCCCCCCGGTTGGCTCTCTGGGCCCCTGTCCTCAGACCCTTTTGTTTTAAAGATCCCCTGATCTATTTTAAAATTAACACGCGCAGTGAACTTGCACGGGTGGCTGTACCCAGGGTCACACACAGGTCCCTGTGAGCTGATGCTCGCCCCACCACGGCTTTCTCACACAGATGTAACCAGGATGCAAGTGACAGCGGGTAGCAGGCTGCTGAAAGAACACACGTGTGCGCGTGCGCACACACACACACACACACACACACACACACACACACACGCACGACGTGTCTTGGATAGCTTTGATCCCTAGCTCAGACCAGGCACATTTCTGACGGCACCGTAAGTCCTGCCACACAGGACAGACAGCACGTGGAGACGAGCTGAGCTCTCGGCTGCAGCCCCGCGTCCTCAGCACCATCCCTGCGTCCTGCGTGGCCCCAGCGCGAGGGTGGCCCTGGAGCCCGGTTTGCAAGCGTCGTGTCACAGTCACTCGGGGGCTGTGAATCTTCCTAAGATGTTTGCCGTCCCTTTGGGAAAATGTGAGACTCACGTGTCAAATGAGTGAGTCCTAAGAGATAAAAGGCCTTTCAAGCATCAGACGCGCACCGTGGACAGGAAGGACTTTAGGAACTTAGAGGAAGGGAGAGTAATGATGGACAGCCAGGGTGGGCTGGGGGGGGTTCCGTGGGCGGGACAGTGGCAGTTACCCCGTTCTCATGGTCGCCCTCAGCTCCAGCAACCCCCTCAGCACCCCCTCACCCCACCCGCGTCGCCCAGTGTCCCCAGCGGCTCCCATGAAGCAGGGACCCTGAGCGGACAGTGGCTCATCGGCTCCCGGAGCCTCGCGACCGGCTGGTTTCCGCGGAGGGGCGACTGTCGCGCTGCGAGTGACCCGGGACCCTCACGGGGCCTCGGACCCATCAGGCCTCCCTCCGCCTCCTCACGGGTCAGCGGGCACTGAACCCCGAGTCTGTCCCGCATGTTGGACACCCTGATGCGCCCCCCGCCGCCCGTCACATCTCCCCAAACCTGGGTCTGTCCTGGAGGGATGGGCGCTCCAGGCTTCAGAAGGGAAGGCAACAAGGTTCCTTATTTCTCACACACTGCTTCAAATTTAACAGACAATCTCTCGTGGCTACTTTTTATTTTCTCCCAAGTCCTAGGGCTAACCCGTGATTAATCTGCCACACCGTGTGTTTTTGGAGAACATTGCAGCTTTATTAGATGAAGCCCTCCCCGAGCTAGGTGTGACGTGAAGTCGTGCTGTGTAAAAAATATCAGGAAAGGCAGCTGTTCTCACTCAGCTTTGTAAAGTATGTGTGCGTAACTTTTCTCTAATTTTTATTTCTAAGAAGGCTGGGGGCTGCTTTCTTGCACCCTAAAAGTACTGGCTTAAGGCCACACTTCTATTAAAAGTTTATATTTATTTGGGGAAAAAATGACTACCGTAAATTGATGGTGTAATTTGTGTTTCCTTTAGAATCTCTTTTTTAAAGGATGGAGGACTCAAAATCGCCAATGTGACTAAAGCCGACGCTGGGACCTACACCTGCGTCGCCGAGAACCCGTTCGGGAAAGCCAATGCCTCCACGCACGTGGTCGTGACCGGTGAGTGCGTGTCTCACGGGTCACTCCTGGGGGGACGAGCTGTGTGGTGTGGACTCACCGTCAAAGGAAAAATGTTCCCACAGTCTGCAGGGCAGGCTCTGCGAAGGTGTTGCATGTGCATTTCTGTTCTTTTTAATGGGAGAAAGTCGAGGGGACGGCTCAGCGTCTGCCTGGCACCCGGCAGGGCGGGCGGTGGGGTTACAGGCAGCTCACGCCACCGCCTGGCTTTTGTCTCATGTGTCCTGTGACGTCAGGTCTTTGGGGTACACTGCCTGTTCCAACATCTTTGATAGTCTCTGGAGATGCCGAAGTTCCTGGAATAACCTCTGATATCAGTAAGAATCAGTTAGAGTTGTGGATGTATTTTGCTCAGTGATTCATTCAAGAAGTAAGTCTGAGGATGTAGCTTGTGCAGATGCTCAGGTTATGTCAGTAAAGAGTGACCCGCTACCCTCGTGAGCTTTCCTCCTTCCAGTAGGAACAAAAAGCAAGAAAGGTACAAATAGTTAGAAAATGCATAGTGTGGGGGGGGGTGCTGCAGCAGAAACGGGCACAGCACCGGCCCCTCGAGATGGAGGCAGACCACGATTTCATGGAGACGAAGGCGCCACGCACGGATCCTGGGGACCAGCACAGTGGGGTCCCTGGGACGTCAGCTGTGAGCTGGAGGGGGGCTGCCAGCTGCTGCACAGGAGCGGACTGACGGGGTGACGGGAAGGATGACCGTAGCCGCTCCGTGCAGCTCAGACGGCCGGCAGTGAAGGCGGGAGAGGTCTCAGGTGACCATCGGCGCCTGGGCAGGGGCGACGCTGACCCGCAGGGTGGCCGCGGAGCAGCTGCGGGAGGGCCGGGTTCTGCGTGCAGAGTCAGGAGGGGCTGACGGACTGGGAGTGACTCCCGGGGACAGAAAGGAGCCAGACGACCGCAGGCTGCCTGTGACCAGGGAGAGCAACACCCACCGTGGAGGGAAGGCTGAGGTGGCACCGGTGGGGGCAGGTCAGGTGTCCCATCGAGTGTGTCGGGTGTGAGAGCTTCGTCAGGCTCCTGTGTACAGCAGACCAGGGCTGTGGCAGCCGGAAGCAGTTCCAGGACGTTGGGGTAAAACAGAAGAGGCCAGCTTTGCCCTCTGCTGCGCGCCCGCGGGGGCCAGCCGTGCCGTCTTCATCCGGCAGTGAAGGGTCCCAGCGCCCGCACCGCCTGGTCGCCCGCCTGTCCGGGACAGAGAGGAGACGTCCCCGCTGCCCACGGTCCGTCCAGGCCTCTGCCCGCTGGTGCCTCACACTCTCCTACCTACGTTTCATTGGCCGCCGTGTCACCACTTGGCCATGCCAGCATTCAACCGTGTTAAGAGTGTAACCCTACTATGTTCCCAGGAGGGATAGCGGTGAGCAGCCATGTCTGTGGTAACACCCAGTGAGTACGCTGCGGGATTTGGGGGCAGTCGTGCAGGAGAAACATGGGGAGTTGTGAGCACACAGCTGGGTCCGTGACAAAGAAGAGACTGGATAAAATCACCAACAAAACGGTGAAGACAGAATAAGAAAGAGCGCTGCCCGGGACACAGTCAGAACCGAGAGGCGTGGGGGAGCGCGAGGACCAGAAACGGGGCGACCAGCGTGGGGAGAAACCGGGTACAGAGTGCGTCGAGGAGAAGACGGGCCCGGGGCCGCGGCCGGACAGGGCGCCGCCAGGAGCGGGCTCAGCAGAGCAATGCCGGCGGCACCTCCGAATGGGGAGGAGCACAGCAGTGGGGAGCGGCCCTGGGAAAGTGGGGTCAGACAGATGCAAGGACGTGGGGACGACAGGAAGAAACGCCCATGTGGACATTTGCAAAGAGGAAGAAAAACAGACCTCCGTGGACATTTTAACTGGAGTCCTCTCTTGTATCGATTCTGAACACCTTTTGTGGAGTCTTTCGGAGGTTCGAATCCACTTAAATGTGGATAGTAACCCGCTTTCCTGTCATTCAAAGTTAGGGGAACCTGGAGGTTTCTGGCTCTTGTGCTGTACTTCCTGTGTCAGCTGAGATGGCTGTGGCAGCCTTGTCACTGGTTTATAGGGGACACGATGTTAAACATACATATCCTGTAAATTCAGATATCATGAGTCTTTTATCAAGAATTGTGGATCCGAGGAAAAGTGTTTAAAAATGTGTGAAAAGGTCTGTAACCTCGCAGACTTAGTTACAGACACGTGTGAGTTACGCTTGCCTTCTGCCTGTCGACGTCGCGCTCATCAGAGTAAGAATGCTGAAGTTGTACCTAAAACTGTTTTCTTCCCCACAGACCCCACGCGGATAACCGTGGCGCCATCCAACATGGACGTGTCCGTTGGCGAAAGCGTCGTTCTGCCCTGCCAGGTGCAGCATGACCCCCTGTTAGACATCACGTTCACCTGGTACTTCAATGGGGTCCTCACGGACGTCCAGAAAGACGGCGCTCACTTTGAGAAAGTCGGTGGGGTAAGTGGTGCCTCTTCCCTCCCGTTTATACGACATGCGGCTGTGACGCCTGGTCCCTAAAGAGGCATCTGGCACGTACGTGACGCCCCAGAAATGTGTGTTTTGTGAGGAATCCAGGCTCTCGGTTTTGCCATGCTCTGATTTTGTTACTGCGATTACCAGAAAGCGGGCGCGTTTACCTTAATCTGTAAGGTCTGGTTTCATTAAAGCTGCTCGTTGCCGCCACGTGAAACGTGGTTATCCACGATGGCTCCGTCCTCCGTGGTGGTGGGAAGGCACGTTTTCGTACACACGCGTTTATTTCTGACATGACACGTTCATCACGAAGCTGAAGGAGTGCCACCTGCCAGGCATCCCCTGTGTGTCCAGCCAGGAGCTCAGCGCCGTCAACCCTCGAAACCGCCCTGAATCAGCAGAGGGGTTTTCACCTTACAGCTGCACAAACTTAGGACTTGAAACGTTTATAAACTGGCCCAGGGTCACTGGTGGGACGGAGACCCAGGCCTAGATCTGTGTGTCCCCAAAACAGATGCTGTCTGATACCCTATTCCACCTCTTTGGTGACAGCTCTGTGTGACCAAAAGGGACAGATTTCAAGAAACCGACACTTGGAGGAGGACCGTTAGGGGCGACCAGCGTGGGTGGGCCTCGCTGACACGAGCAGGCCTCCCCGCGGGCCGCCTGCCTGGGAACCCACCGTCGCCAGCCACGTGCCCTTGGTGGCCTGTTGTCACCGACTCGGGTGGCTTCCCTGTGTGGCTGAGATGCCCGTGGTGCAGAGTGGACTCGGGGTCTCGTCCTTTGGACAAAAGGATGTGATGGGCGACTCAGTTGTATTCATTTGACCGCGATTTCTTATTAAACGTACGTGTATGTTTCACAGGTACGTGCGCATGTTAGGATTGTGTACAAATGGAAGGATGATTCTTTGATGTGAACTGTGTCCCCCAGAAGAGATTTGTGCAAGTCCCAGTGCCGAATTGAGAAATAACTGAACGTCCCGGACGTTCTCTGCCCCGGCTCCCAGCACAGACAGCGGTGTCTTTGTTCTAACGAGGTGCCCGCTGGTGGGCTCCCCACCAGCGCCAGGGTAGTTGCCAGGAAGACCGAGCCGGGGTCAGACGCTTAGGGTCTCAGCCCTGTCACCCACCCTCCGGGAAGGGGACAGGGGCTGGCGATGCAGATGGTGACGGATCAGGCCTACCTGATGAAGTCGCCATAAAAATGCCTGAAGTGCGGGGTTTGGAAAGCTTCTGGGCTGGTGAACCATCCACGTGCTGGGAGGGTGGCTCCCAGCTTCACAGGGACAGACACCCCTGCACTCAGGACTCCCTACACCTCACCTTACGCACTTCTGCATCTGGCTGTTTGTCTGTGTCCTCATGCACTCTTTCTAATTAACCGGTAAATGTAAATAAATGATTCCCTGAGTTCTATGAGCTGTTCCAGCAAACGGTTGAACCCCAGGAGGGGTCACAGGAACCCCGATCTCTACTCGGTCAGTCAGTAATACAGGTGACGATGTGAGACTTGTGCCTGGTGCTTGGAGCGGGGTGTCGTGTGGGACTGAGCCGCTCACCTGTGGGGTGTGGGGGCAAAATGGAGCTGAGCTGCGGGCACCCGGCTGGGTCAGACGTGCGGGTGGGAGACGCACCTGGTGCCAGACGCGTGGCTCTGAGTGTCGTCGCTGACGTGACACAGAAGAGTCTTCCCTACGCCGTCGTGCTTCAGTGTGACCTCGGGCGGAGGTAGGGTCGCTGCGGACCCAGCTCCGTCACAGTGAGGGCCTCCTGGTGCCGGTGGCCCTAACCAGTGGGACCAGTGTCCTCACACAAAGAGGGAAGTTTGGACACAGACACGGGGACAGCGAGTGGAGACACTGACTCAGGGCCAAGGGCCGGGGGCAGACGCGGGGCGTCCACACGAAGGGGAGGTGACGCTGGGCGTCCACAGCCGCGAGGGCCAGGCGTCCAGGGCTGGAAGGGGCGAGGCAGGGTCCTGTCCGGAGCCGGGGGACGGAGACCGGACTCTGGGCTTCTAGTCCTGGGGCCACAGGGGAGTGAAGCCACCCCGTCCGTGTTACTTGTGACAGCAACTGATACAGGGGGTCCTTTAAACGAGAAAACACGGAGGCACTCAGATGCCAGCCACGGGGAAGTACAGTTTCAGCACCGTTTCTATGCTCTATATCTGGCTTATTCTGTTTTAGAAGTTCTAGTTCTCCTAATTATTCTGACTAATTCAAGGCTTTTAAGACCTTCCCCGGTTACAACCCATTAGGTAGCATGCCCTTCACTATTGCATTAAAAGCCCATTTTTACGCCTTCAGTTCCTTCTCCACAACAGCACAGGCATTTTCCAGCCGCCCCGCCAGCTCCGCACCCTCACGCGGGTGGACTGCTTGCCCGTCTGTCCCTGGAGAGAAGGGGGGGCCGTCGCTCCAGTAAAGACCCCTTGTCCATCTGGAAACGGCTGCTACTCTGAGCCACCCCTTGTCCTGACTGTAATTCTTAGACAAACAATTTTATTTGAAACGCTGGTTTCCTTTGCTGTGTGATGGGATTTTAAACTATCGATAATATTGCATCGAATGCAATGCCCCCTGTCTTACCTAAAGCTAAAGAAATATATGACGAACGACTCAGCACTCAGAGCAGTTTGATTTTAATATGCATCAGGCCTCCTCAAAGCAACACTGAGACAGTTTAGTGGCTGCTGCTTTCTGTCGGAGGCGCTTGGCGTTAAGAGGAGTTGAGATGTTAGTGCAGCTCAACGGCACCTGCTTTGCGTGGGCTCCGCAGAAGGCATAAGTCACCTGTACAAAGCTGGGTGCCTGAAATGTGAAGTTTCACCCATTAATCCTGTCACTTGCCAGTGCAGGTCTTTTTCTAACATGCTAGTTCATGGCCTGGGTATTTTTTTATTAACTTGTGCCGTTAGGAAGTTGATATTTCGCCGTCAAGATGGACCTGTAGCCGTACCCGATGGTGCCACCCATAAGCACAAGCAATTATAACAAGTCAGCTGGTTTTCTGTAGCACGAGAAGCAGCCGCGTCACAGCCCTTCCCCGGGGGTGTGCGCATTGCAGCGTTCGCTCCAGCCTGCTGGCCTGGGATCCTGGCACGAGCGTGGATGCGCCCCGTTCTCAGAAGCAGCAGATGTGACGGGGAGGCTGGAAGGGTGACAGCAAGCACCATGTTTAGAAGGGACAAGGGGTAGCTCAGAAAAGGGAGAACCCAACTCACAGGCTCGCTGACTCAGCCATTCGTCTTCGGGACGATGGAGGGCATTCAGTAGTCACTCATAAAAATAAAAAAAATATGTACCTTTGGGGAAAGATCCATGCGCTCAAAAAGCTCCCACAGTTGAGCTCAGATTTATCGTGTCCATTTGAACCTCGCGTCAGAGGCACAGAGGACACCGGCCACGGGTTTCTGCACAGAGCCGGACGTGAGACGGTGTCACCGACTCAGCCCCATGTCTGCAGAGACGGGCGCTTTGCACGGAGGACCGGGGCCCGGGGACGCGCTGCAGCCTGTGCCCCGGGACCGACCCGGGTCGCATAAGCACAGTGGCCGAAGGCACCGCTCAAGCCTGCCCTTCAAGTTCCGTTTTCAACCACTGGCAGGTCAGCTGGCCAAAAATAAGAAAAATCTTTAAATAGTTCAGTCAACTACTTGGATACAAGATAAATTTACAAACAGTGACAACTATCTCATGTATCAACAATGACCAATAAAAAGGATAATGGGGCACAAAGCTCCCTCAAAAGATAAAATACACAATAATTTGCACAACTACCGAGGTCTAAATAAAGAAAAGTACAATACTTTCTTAACATGGAAGGAGGGAAGGAAGGAAGGAAGGAAGGAAGGAAGGAAGGAAGGAAGGAAGGAAGGAAGGAAGGAAGGAAGGAAGGAAGGAAGGAAGGAAGGAAGGAAGGAAGGAAGGAAGGAAAGAAGGAAGGTGGACAGACGGATGGATGGAGGAGGGGTGGATGGATGGATGGATGGAGAGATAGGAAACAATAAAAAACTTAGTGTTCCTAGATGAAATAAAACAGCGAATTGTAAGGCTTTAATTTGTCCATGGTTTTAAAATAACTAAGAATCCGTTTAAATCATTCTGAGAGCGTTTAGGGTAAGAAACCCCATAAGGAGTTGCCGCGTCCGACTGGCGTGATAAACACAGAGCCTCCTCGTCACAGATCTGAACTCGGAGCTGCAGCTTTGACACCTGTTCCGTTCTCTTACAAACGGCTGCCCTTCGCGTCTCCGCCTCCGTTTCCTCACCTGCAACAGCGAGGAGAGAGGAGCCCTTGCTCAGAGGAAGAGCGGCACGTTGTGCCAGCTCCCGGTCGTGGCACCATCACTGCCCCCACGTTCTCGAGGCGCCCGAAGCACCGCACGTTCCTCTCAGCAGGACCCAGGACTCCCGGTTCCCCAAATCCTTCCCCACGCTTGTTTTTTCTTTGATTTTTGAAAAAGTTTTGCCAAACAGGTGGCTGAGAAGTGACATCTCATTATCACCACTTTCTTATTTCTCCGATTAATAATGAGATTGAGAATGTCTCCGTTTGCTTATAAGGAATTTGGATATTAAAGACAGATTTAGAATTGTAACTGACTCCTCCAAATCAAGAAAATTGGGAGCTTAGTACTGATTCTTGTGAAATGCAAGATTATTTCTGCAGGAAAGAGATAAACATTATGTGTTTCTTTCTAGCCAGAACAATTCACAAGAGCTCAGCTACCTGGATTATTATATAAAAGAATGTTTAAAACATTTTTTTTAATCCAGCAATGTTGACAATGACTTTCCAAAGTGACACAAAATACAAACTGCTTCAAGACGTGCGTCAGAGCACAAAACCTACTTGACTCCGTCCAGAGACAAAGACATGCAGTTGAGGTTGGCATTTGTCAGATTTTCATCTCATCGATTCCACCTGTTCAGTAGACGCTGTCCTCCCGAGGTCACAGCAGGAAGTCCTCCCTGA